ATTTTATGTTTTAAAATAAGTGTGAACCAAAAAAGTAACTGATGGTTCGGATTTCTTAAAAGGTGTTTTAGAACGCACTTCAAGGCCGCTTCCATAAGGAAAGAAACAAAAATGCGAAACCTGAAAATGTGACTTACAAACTGCTTGCATTTGAATATTTGAAACCGGGACAATGGCAGCAGCAGGGGCAGCTGCTGCAAGTTTATCATTCATGACAGTTTGGCTGAGCTGCGGTTAGCTCGCTCAATAATGACACATAACACAGAACAGAAAACTAAACAGTGGCTTAAATTGTGTGTGCGCTGTGGAGGTTCCTCTTCACTGAAATCTCAAACCCAAAGTGTTTGAAATGAGCCAAAGCACAAAACATGCAGCATCTTGAGCTACTATTTGTGATACATGTTTCATGGCAACAGTAATCCAGAAGCAATCTGATGTGAGCAGCAATTCAGGATTCAGCCTGTTGGTTTACTTTGCTATGAATGTCGGTTATTGTTCTCATAGTTATTTGAAATGTAAAAAAAAAAACTACATGTCTGAGAGAAGAATGAGAATAAATACTTCATTGTAAACCTTTTCCTACTTTCCAGACAGTCCTTGCTTTAGATTAATTTGAGTGTGGTTTCAAAATCAGTGTGCAGGGATTTAAACACAGTTGGAATGGGGCTATAAAAATGTTATCTGTCACTGTCAATATCTGCTTTTATTGATTGATTTGAAGCCCGTTATTGTCAACAATTTGCTGATATGCTGATAATAGATGCAGATGAGACATTGATTAGGATGGATGGCACCCTACTCAGGTCTTTGAGGTGTTTGAAATTGGATTTTAATGGCTTCCTAATACACTGAAATATGTCTACTATTGCTCAAAATCAACATAATGCCATGGAAAGCCATCATTAGTTATGTTTCATTTGGGGTTTTATAGTAGTATCCTTACACCCAGAAATAAATGTTGATCTCCTTGTGAGAAAAAGTCTATGGGGTCATATTAGACCAAAGCTGCTTTTTTATTTAAATTAAAGTTTTGGATCTAAACGGAGACTTGGCATGTTTACAGGATGCAGCAGCTGTAGTACAGATTTCAGGATCATGTGAACTGCTGCAGGGACCTGGTGGCAGCAGAAGGAGAAAACAAACAGAAGCTGAGCAGCATTAGTGTAAGTTGAGGGGGAGGCCTTGGTTTAACAGAGATTGTTTTGTTTCTAGATGGGCTGGATTGCAAATGTCAGTCACACAATGGGTAGAATATCCCTGTAACAGCTTTAAATGCAAGTTTTGGACTCCTTCACCATAGTGCTGTATATTCGACTTGTCAAATACTAATAACTGCACCACACTCATGAAGCCTTTGTTTACATTTGTTAATGTTGCTTCCTCCTTTATGCAGTTGTGTCAGCAAATACCGTTTCAGTCTGGTCTTCTTGTTGCTTGAAAAGATTTCCTCCATAGCCCTCTATGGTGAAACTTCAGCCACGGCCACATTAACCTCTTACAGGGCCCAAGGGTAGAAATTATGCTGTCGGGCCCCCACTGATCCCAACGCAGAATGCTGTTTGGGTAGCTTTAACATGTGATCAGAGACACTGGGATGGACCTGTGCTACTGTGGAACATCACCTGCAACATTTTCAGTAGAATTTGACTAATTAAATACAGCTTTATAAAAGAATGAGCACCATCTCATAAAGGATAATGCACTGCAGTGGAAAAAATTCACAACTATGACTGATAATCTGCTTCTTTGTAATGATGTCAACTAGTGTGTGTATGTGAGGTGGGGTGTATTTTAAAGCTTTTTCATAAACAACTAGTATTTTTTATTTAATATCACTGTAGATTTTATAATAAAACTACTAATAAAGCTTTGCTTACAAATTAAACTTAGATTTTCTTGTGTTTATTTGTTTCCATGTTAGCATCGGCTTTAAGGCTTTAGCCATTTTAAAAGCTTAGCTACGAGTTATCATGCCACTGTTCAGAAACAGTCCTTGAAATCGTTTTGAAATCCAGCAGAATTTCTTTGTGATACTGGAGTCCTTTTGCTATATTCTGCTGTGGTCTCAAGTTGCTGGGCTTTCACTAAGGTTTTATTTAGGTATTTTCCACCCCACCCCCTCCATCTGATTTGCAGAAAACCATTAAAAACTGCTAGCATTTCTTTTTCTTTTTTGTGGGGTTCAAAGGATGCCTTTAAATGTCTTGTTTTCTTCAGCAACCAGAGAGATGCACTTAATCTTCACAAATGAGGAACAGCAGTCAGTTGGATTGTTTTTTTGTAATTCTTCACAATTATTATCAATATAGTTGATCAATTAATGTCTTGTCTAACATTTTCTGTGTCTTTTCTTTTCTTTTATTACATCTGGTCTGTGTTTTAACTCTGTAATGTGGGTAAAAGAAGGGGCTCAAAATGGGATAAAACACCATTATCATTATTTATTGCTGGCTCGGTTGCAGTAGTCACACTTGCTTTCTTGTGTGTCACATTTCCCTGTTTGTGTAGTCTGCAGAATGCAATGTGGGAATTTAGCAGAACTCACTCAAGTATATTTCGAGCACTGGGGGAGAAATAGTATGCAGTTAACAGGATATTCAAAAAAATATGTGGTCATTGTATATAAGGAAAGAAAATTTTAATTGCTTTACCGCATAAGTGATGACCTATTATTTTATTAATCCCGCACCAGGTGTAGTTTGTTTGTATCTGGATGGATGTCTGGTCATGAAATGTTGGCTAGATTTAGTTGCAGAATTTGGAGAAGTGAAAATAAGTGTTGGTTATGTGCTGGGAATGTGTTGGAGTTTTTCCCAAGTGGGGCACACCTCCGTGGAACCTGTAGACCCAAACGTGCAGAAAGTACCGGTGATACAGTGAACATACACCTGGTTTACTTTTTATTCTATTATATTCTATTTTATTATATTCTTGTATCTCCAACAATTCAGGAGCAGTGGGGATTTCCTCAACAGAGATACTTTAGTTCAAATATTTACCGGCTATAATGCAGCGTGTTGAACTTTGCCCTCCAGGTTCGGGCGCATTCACGTCTTTATTTTCGACTGGAAACGGGTATTATGGGAAAGGTTTACGACGGCCTGCGCGCTTTGTTTTTGTTACGAATCACCGTGAGTCTTTGGCTGCGCTTTGTCCTTTCGTCAAACATTTCTAAATCAAAGCGGATGGCTGCAATTACACCCGGTGCGCATGCCCGTCTTAAGTAAATGTTCCGTGCGTCCGTGCGCTCAGGCGCGCCCTAGGAAAGAATTTGCAGCCGGGCACGCGGTTGATATGACTGTTGTGACTTGTTGTGAATAGTGAAATCTCAATGACAAAAGAGCGTCAGCAAGGCCACAGCAGAAGGTTAGAGAAATAAAAACTGTAATAAAAATGTGCAATAGTCCTTTAAAGGAGCATAACCTCATATCTAATCGGATCTGGAGAGCCATCCAAGAGCCACAAACTCACCCCGTGTCGATATTTCATTTTAAATGAATAAAACGACTTTAAAAAGAGGGAAGATCTCCACAAACGGTCATGTGCTGAGAGTGGAGGTAAGATTATGTCAAGATACAATTATGACGAAGTTGTGGAAGAATAATATGAAGCACCCTTAGAAGACATAATTCATTCACACTTACTTTACACGAGCTTGAGTCACACTGCATTTTATGCTTATTAAATTACATAGACACCTTCATTTTACATGAAGTATCGAGAATAATAACCACAGAATCAAGGTAAACTTACAGTTGAGCATGGGAAACAGAGAATTTGATACAAAATGTCAGAAGGTGAGTATTACCTTAAGGAAATTGCTGTGTGGACCGTGTAACTAAAAAGTATAAAAAGTATTAGTATTAGTTAAAAATTATTTTCAGTTTACATTGGAGTTTGCTGTCTTATTGAGATATGTATATATAAATCATTTCTTTTCACTATCCAGTTGTTTATTAAAGTGTTGCCTCTAATCCAATATCCTCTAAGACCCAGCGCTATCAGTTAAAGCACACACTGGTGGCTGCTCCAGCAGCGCACTAATATCAGTCTAATGGTGAGTAATATAGATATGGGGATTTCTGCAGGTGTCAGAAAACAAGATAGGGTATTGACTGAAATCATTTTGTGTGCACGGGCTTGTCGCCAGTTGCATTTTTTCCTTCCCCCAGAGGTGCAAATAAAAATTCTAGCCCACAAAATATCCATGTAGATGTAATTAGATAAAATGTTCCCTCCAGGTGTGTTTGAAGATGTTTTTACTTATTTATTTTGTGAAATCTGCTCAGTGTATTCAGCATTTTTCGCCCCCTTCCAGAAAGTTTAACTGCCGTGTTTGTCAGTCCTTAATGTTCCTGAATGCGCACTCCAGGTTTCCACACACGCTGGTGGAACTCTTAATAAGCAGCTCAGGTTTCAGGTGATCTGAAATCATCCTTTTAGTGGGACATAATCTCCGTCCTTTAGTACGCAGACAGAAATAGCTCTGTGTTGCAGCAGAATAGCCAGGTTTGAATGAGCCCCCAATATAATCTTCTGTATAGGGAGTGAAGGGAACAAAAGTCGAGTAAAATTAACCATAAACCTATTACTGGAAAATCCAGTGTGCGCTGAGATGTGTTCATTAACACGATGACCAAATAATAATGAGAGCAGTTCATAGAAATGTAGCTGCTGAGGTCCCAAAGTTGGGTCAGGTGGATTTATCTACCCACCCTCCTCTGAAATAAAAATTATATTAAAGGAGCTTCAAAAAACAAAAAAACAAAACAAACACATAAAATCAAATATTATAGTTAAAGCTCGGACTGATTCCACTTTGTCGAAATAACCGCAAAGGATTCTTCATCTTTCTAAGATAATTCCCCTTCCCTTAAACTAAGTGGACCACTACGCTGGGGATATTTAGCCAACCTATTTATTTTTCTCATGTTTTGAGGGGGGAAACCCGGAGCCCGAGTGCTTGTCTCCTTAAACAAAGACCCCTCTAAGACATGTACTTGAAATAAACCTCTCTTTTCCTGGAGTTTATTCAAACAAACATGTTACCATAAACACATGAGGACTTTGAATCACCTTTTGTATACAGTTTAGGCTAATGAACGTACTTCTGCAAAGTCTTACATTATTGTACAAAACACGTTGCACTCAAGTTAAACATGCAGGGTCTCACTCACTCTCTCTTTTTTTTCTATTGGAGCAAACAAAATCAAAAGCATTTCAAACGGGAGGCGTCGTGGAGTCACCCTGCATATGCGGTAAATAGAAAGCACACAGAAGCAGTATAAAGTATGTACAGTAAAGGCCGGATTTTCTTCTGTTTTCTCATTGATTCGTTACATGCTCGATTTTTTTTTTGTTATTATTATTATTTTGATGCAAATCCTCGCTTTGGTCGAGTCAGTCTTCAAGAGTAAGCAAGCACAAAAAAGAAAAAAAAAATCCCACCGTCTGTTTCACATGTTAGACCTGTATATATTTACATTTAGATATGTACAGTGCAGCCATGTAACACGTCTTCATCATTTAAAAAAAAAAATCCAAAAAACCTGGACATTTAAACTGCTGTGCAAGTTCACTGGTAAACACATGTAACCCGCATTATCCACGTTTTCTTTTTCATTTTCTTTTTCGAAAAAAAAAATGATTGCAACTAATCCAGTTTAGTCGTCTTTGATACCCCCCCTCCCCTGATCCGCAGGTAGCCCATAAGCTATGACACCGTGTCCGCTTATCACATATTTATATATATATATATATATATATATTTGTATTTTTAAGGCCCCCCTTTTGGCCCGTCAGCTGTTGTATTGACAGGCGTTCAGGCTGGAGCCCGGGCTCTGCAGGCCGCTGTATCCAAATGTTGGATGCTGTTTGGATTTAAGTCTGAGAGAGGCCAAGCTGGAGTTGCAAGTGTCCCGGTAAACGCTGTACGGTGAGCCGGGAGGCCCGTAAGGACAAGCCGATGATGACATAGCTGAGTTGATGCCGGATGTCCCGATCCCATTCAGGTTGCTGATGTTGTTAAGACCTGGCGTGGGCATGCCGGGCACCGCGGAGTGGCCCATCCCGGAGGCCATGGTCATGGAGGAGATGGAGTTGGGGGCCGAGAACATGGACTGCGAGGTGAGGGGACTCATGGAGTTGAAGAAGGTGAAGTTCTTGGTGGACAGCGGTGCCGGAGTGAGACCCTTGTTGGTCCAGTTGTTGTAGGTATAAGCCGGGTACATGTCGTCGTAAGGCTGCATGAGACCGCTGAACTGGGGCAGGTAGCTGTTCTTGCAAAGGTCCATCTGCTGATTCCGCTCCCGCTTCCTCCACTTAGCCCGGCGGTTTTTGAACCACACCTGGAAGGGACACACAGAACCGTGAGCATTAACCACAGCAGAACGCTGTAAAATGTAAAATTAATTTTCTTGTCATAAAATAAACCTGCAACTTTGCTACAGATACAGGAATGACTCGAGTCCACACCCGAAGCAGCATTTCAAGCTCGTGTGATATTCAGTTCATGAAGCATAAGTGTAATTTTTTTTTTCTTAAAACGACACTAATGACCATTTATTGATGTCTGAATCATTTATTTCCACATATATTGCGGCAACAAGCTTCACACCCCGCTTTGGTGCCCTTAAATTGTTGCCTTTAAGGTGAGTTAGAGTCTAGGGTGCCTTAAAACGTTTCATTGAAAGGAAACAAACAACAAAAAATTAAAAACAAAAAACAAAAAACCATTACAGAATAAAGGCATTTTTAACTAAATGATCTTTGAATTTTATAGCGGTTAATTGTTGATGAGTTAAAATCTTTTATAGGCCCACAGCCATATTCAGCAGTTTCAGCTGCGGTCCCATTTTCAATGTTCTCAGATGTCAAATATCAACAACTGCTTTTTAATTTATGATTAGTTACGAAACACGCACTTTTTTTTGTTTTTTAAAAATACCAAAGCAGTTACTTACTTTTGCTTATTAAAATCAATCCGGACATTAAAAAGAAAGGATCCTTTTTTGAGTGAAACGCATATTCAGAGTTTCCATACCCGAGTCGACAAACTAGCCTTGGAGTCAGGGGGAGCAGTTTCTGCTGACGAGCTACAACCCGGTAAAATAAATACAAAATCAGCGAGACTGAATGAGTGGACATCCTTTAAGTTCATGTGGACGACGACTGCGGGATGTATTAATCCTAATCAGTGGACTGATGTTAGAAATTCGTTTTGGTTATATTCATATAGACTATACAATATATTCGACACTCTCTTTACAAATGTAATTTTTCCTTCCTGTAGACTATTTTGCCCTTTACAAATAAACTAGCAAATACATTAAATCGTTTATGAAAACTGTTTCCAGGTGTTTTGATAGTATACATATTAGTATAACACTACCACACACTTGTACATCACAATGAGAATGTGTGTTTACACCAGATCTAAGATGGAGGTGCATTAATGTAGATTTTTTTTGGCCTCATTTCTTACAATGAAATAAGAAGTATTTCTAAAGATAAATCAGGGTAAATAAAAGGCGTGTGTGTCTCTGTAAGTCAGACGTAAAACCAGGTTCACAGAGCAACTCGAACGGCTCCGCGGATGACTCGAAATGAAACAGAAAAGCGCTTCTGGATATCCTCACACCTTATCAAAACCTAACAAAATACTAGTCGGTACTCTCCAATTCATTGTTAATTCATAGTAGAAACAATTTACAACTGGTATCACCAGACGGCCTCGCGGAAGCTATTTATAGTGGTGCGGGAACACTGTGCAGCCGACAAATTGTCCACAAAGACTTGAGCGATGTGACAGAGAGCTGTGGAGGAAACACTCAAGACTGCAGAGCCCAGCCTCGAGTTTCCTGCACCCAGCTATAAAATGCATACTTTGGATTTTAATGACATTTGCACGACGAAAACCACGTTAAGAATATGAGTATAATGACTGACGTGTCAAAGTGTGCTTATAAATATTATGAAATTATATTTAAAATCATAATTGCATCTTATTTAATGTAAATTGATCTTTAAAATATTTCCAATTATTTCAAATTTCACTGAATCTCAAATATTCAGCGTACCATCACCCCCCCCTTTTTTTAATCCTAATATTTTTATTTTTTTTTATTCCTAATGAAAAAAGGGAACGAAAGAAAAAAAAAGTTGCTGTTTAAATCTGAACCTGCTCGTGACAGCAGTGAGTTTCTTGGCTCAAAAAGCATAAAAAGCAACTTATTTTCATTTTACACCTCAAACTGAAGATATTATAAGAACTGTGCTGATTCAAATATTATATTATTATTGTTATTATTCATTTTTACTCAAAACAGTTTAAAAATGTAGCTATAATAAATATAATACATGTAAGTCATATTCTTTAAAAAGCCATATATATATATATACGGAGAGACGTGAACGCTCTCCTCCGTGGAGAAAAAAAAACAAGGGTCCAGATTTTCGATGATGTCATCAAAATGCGAATCATCCATTGGCTACATTAGCAGATACACCCTTTGAAAGGACCTGCAATTTCCAACGGATTCAACTACTCCCCCCCCCCTTACTTTCTTTTTAAAGCTTTCCTTTCTTCCAAGTTTTCAGCATGAGACCTGTTAACATGACTGCGTGCCATTAAGGCCTGTAACGTCCTCTGTGCCAGTATTGGGAGTTGTGCACGTGCTGTAATAACGGTAGATTTACTTTTGGATGCACCGTAGCTGACAGCTGACAGTCAGGGATGACTGCAACTTAATATGTTAACAATATTCTGCTGAAAACCTCCGAGGTCTTTGGAGATGGATTTTCGTAAGCGTGTATTTGAAATGTATCACAGATTTAGTTTATTACTTCTGATCCGTTTAAAGTCACCAAAGTCTGTATGTGACATGGACTCCGTTAAAAATAGGAATAGTGACTTACGCATGAATTCAGAACCTTCAGGGAAATGTACTGACTTTAATATACATCTGATTTCTCGCTGTACTGACAAACAGCATAAATGAGTCTGTGACATCCTTATTTTAAAATTTCTACAAAGTTCTGTTTTTGTTTTTGTTTTTTAATACTTGAAATTGGGTTAAAAGTCTTGTGGAACCAAGTTCAAAAGTTACATATTTTGACAATTTAAAAAATATATAATTTTAAGTTATTAAAAAATATCTCTTTTTCATTTTCTTATAATTTTTTGTTTGTTTTGGAAGTTTAATAATTGCTGTTTTTGACGAGCGTCTACTTGGCCAGCTTGTCTTTATTCAAACTTTTCATATGGTTTACGCACGGCCGCTATCTTACCCGGACTCTCGCCTCGGTCAGGTTGGTCCATACCGCGATCTCCTCCCTGGTGCTCATGTCAGGGTAGCGATTCCTCTGGAACGTGGCTTCCAGCTCTTGCAGCTGCTGGCTGGTGAAGTGAGTCCGCTGCCGCCGCTGTTTTTTCTTCTTGGGGTCGTCCGCGTTTCCGTCATCGCTCCTGTGTTCAGCGTTTCTTTCCTTTTCTGTGGGTGACAAACCGGTGTGAAACAGCAGTACTCCTATAACATATTTTGAATGGCATGCAAATAAGGGACGTTTAAACAATGAAGAAGTTAGTGTGTGTACGTAGACAGTTCAATATTTCCCACGAGGATTGAGTACAACAACGTGGATTTTTTTTTTTTAAGTAAAGCAATTGAAAAAGACCCACCGCGATGAAACCAACCATTTTGGCTAATTTATTTACGAAGTCATTCATAAAAAATAAACCTCAAAAGAACAGAAATAAATTAGTCACACATTCACAAACGTGTCTCAGAGTTAGCCATCGGATCGCTCCGGTTTTCGCTTAGAGATCAATATCTTTACGATGAGGTCTGCCCACTCTTATCTCCCAACTGTCTTGTATTTTGTGTCCTAACAATTGCCTCGTTAAACTTAAGAGGCCACACGCGCAAAGGTCAGTCACACACACACACTCGCACACACAGAAAGGGAGCTAGGATTTTGAGAGTTTCCTAAAAACAAAAAAAAGCTTAAAATCACGACTCAAGATTTTTATTTAAAACGATTTACTGTCGTGACTGATAGCTAAAAAAATAGAACTAACTGACCTTGGTGTATTTTCTATTTGCTTCTCGTGCGCCCTGAAATACGCGAAGAAAGGCCAGAAAGGCCTCTGTTTTTTCCCCCTAAAATTTTGGAAAAGCTGAATAATAAAAAGTGTCTCCGGGAACTGTCAACACAGACCGCTTGGTTTTTAGTTTAGATTTGTGGATAGCTCCAATATTTATAGTTTGCTCTAATGCATTCACTGACAGCAGGCCAGGCTGCTCTGCACATTTTTCCCTGACACATCTCGGGTTCCTGCCAAATGTTTGGTTCTGGGAGCACAGTAAACAAAAAATGGGGAGTAACTGCACAAAAAGCGCTCACAAACACAAACACACTCAAATACTAAGATTTGATGGAAACACATTTTAGAGTTTGTCGTTTTCGTGCACGCTGCCCGGTGACACACGGAAATAAATCAAGCAAACACAAGGGATAGAAAAGTTAAATATTCTTTCTCTTTGTTCTGTAGCTTTTAAGTGCTGGAGATGCCTCTCTGACAGTTCGCCGTAAAAATGCTTACGGACACGTAAAATAAAGTGTTACAGCACTCAGTGGGAAAAAGAATGGAGAGGCTAAAAGCTCTCTGACTGTGTACCTGCCAACTCTGTGTCTGAAGACTCGCTGCTTGAGTTCTCTACAGTTTCTCGACTGCTGTTTGAAGTTCTCTGTAAATGAAACGCGGGGGCCACGTCGCGGGGCGGCGGTGCTCTCACTGCCTCTGCAATTCTGTCCAAATTCATCCCACCTTGAAGAGAAGGGTGCGTAAAAAGAGGAAACGGGGTGAATCCTGTGGATCGCGAGGCGTTCTTTCAGAGCTACGCTACAAAACATCCACCCGCTCTCAGACACACACCACGACATGGGAGATTTAACCATGCAGGTTCGTTTGTTCTTCCACGCAAAACGTGCTTCGAGAGAATAGAAGAAAGAAAGGACAAAAAAAAATCACACGGCCCCGTTCCCCTCCTCTGAAGCAGTGACAGCCCTGTGCGCTCTCCTTCTATCCGCAGCAAGGAAAAGCTTCCACCCGCTGTGACTGAGAACAAGCTCCGGCTCTCCAACCCTCACATCAGACCCACCCATTAGCTGCGTTAAACCTCCCCAAAACAAGTCCCACCCACTAAACGTGACCGCTGCAAGAAAATACCCACCCAGACAAGACAAAGTCTGACGTCGCGCTTAAAAAAGTGAAAAGGTGCATTTAATTAATTTTAGATTTATTAGACGTTTATGTCGCATTTAGATCAGGAAATTTCTTCCAGTGTGAGTGGAGCGAAACTATAAGAGGTGACTCATCTGCTAAACACTCCTAACAAAAAACCTGCCACGGTGGCTGTCTGCTCATTTGTTAGTCTTAAGGCTAGTTATTGTTATTACTTTGTATTTTATTTCATTTTATTATTTTTTTGCAGTGTACGCTTTGTCAATTATCGAGAGCGCACAAAGCGAAGCTTTGCTTTCAGGAGTAAAAAAGGGGCCTTTTATTCGCGCAGGCATGTTTGAAATGTGTCCAGAGCAATGCAGCTGGGCGCGCTTATACACACACGCTCGGCCACACAATGTATATCTCGGATATGTACCGAGCTGAATAAACATTTGCCATCCAACACGGTCCTGCCCAGTTACTGTGTCTCCAGTATGAAAAGTGCTCGATGATATCAGGCTCGTTGTGTGCGTGAATACGAGCGCTGTAACCTGACAAGAGTCGCTCTGTCAGCTCGCTCATTCACAAAGAGACAATCGGGAGTAATACACGGAACATTACATCTCTCATTATTTAACAGGATGTGTTTGTCCGTGCTGTTTTTTTGTGCACCACATCGTTTGAACCACATCAGTCAAAAAATAAGTAATCTATCAGCAGCAGCAGATCGGTCTGCCCTGCACTTTGCCTAAACAGCCACCACCTCACCACTTCAGACATTACTGATATAATATATTTAAACTCCAACAACATGCACTCAGAATCCAACCGCTATAGATCCCAGCCTTTCAGTGACAACCGCAATGTGACAAATGGACCGCTGCGAATGATGACACATTTGACTTTTGTGCGTTTTGTTGGCTCTGACGCGCAAACAGCAACAAGCAGTGGCTTGATAAAGGAGCCCCAACATCACCAGAACATAACGTCTTTGTATCCATTAGCAGTGCTAATTCAAACCAACCCCATCCCGCTAAAGATGGAAAACAAGTAAGATTAAATTAGATGCTACAGGGATTATAATCTGACATTCAGGTATGCGCAGTACTCGTGGTGCTTTAGAGCTAAGTGAACTGTAATGTGTCTGTGTGCAAAACTGAAGAGCTGAGTTGCTGATCGTAGTCTGTGTCGCACTGGCTATTTTCTTGTCTTTCTTTGAGGAATGCACATATGCAGGTTAGATAATATTTAAAGTTTTACCCAAGCGCGGGGCTCTTTTATAGGATGGCAGAAATAGATTCCATGTAACTTTTGCATGAGAAAAGCTCTGCAGGCATTCTGCCACAGACTCGCCAAGAAGTCTCTGTTTTAACCCAAACCATGAGCTTTTCATCCACCAAACCAAGTATTTCGTTCCCTAACCAAATTGCGCATGAAAGCTGAAAATAATGTAAAAGAAAAGAAGGCCAGCGTAAAAAGCGTCTGTTTCAGACCACTATGAGTAACCCTTTACATTAAAGCAAAATGTAAAGGCCTTTACTCGTGTAACTGGAATCTGTGGGCAAAAGTCTCCATTTAGCATTAGGGTTTGAGTCATTAGACGCACAGAGTGTATAAATCACATTTCTTATTTGAAAGTTTGAGTTTGTATTTGAGATAAATATATTTTCTATTTAAATGTGATGTGCCTGTAGGTGTTTTGTTATAATATGACAAACACTTACGGGCAATAATAATTTATTGAGTTAAATCACCTCTGAGTGACCAGAAATCACAAGTTTACTGAATGTAAAGAGTTCCAGATTTCTCTTTCTAAGATGATTAAAGATCAGTATAATTTGGCCACATCTGCGATATGAGACCAGCTGACCTGCTGGCTTGCTCGGCCAGTCTGCTACCTCCTTCAGGTAGAGTCGCACATCAGGCCTCAGCGTCTCAGGCTGACAGACAGTCAGACTGTCACAGGCGCCAGGGTCGAAGACTTTCCGCCATTGTATGAGCATATGACTTTTGACACGAGATCCTCGTTTTGTTCAAAACGCCCCCGAAGGGTTTTTTTTTTTTTTGGCAGAGAATTGTGTTAGCTCTCAGAAATCACCTGCCGTGTTCATCAATATTTGCTCAGCCTTTCTGCACAGAGAGAGTGGCACGTGTTTTCACAGACATCTACACTGAATGCACTCAAGAAATTTGAATACAGCGAAACTCATCAACGAACTTTTTACATTTTTAGTGCACAGTGTGTAACTGTTGTATTACTATGGCATAAGTATTTGACTAGCTAATATGAATGCGTCACCTTGACCTACTGAGGATCACAGTCAACAAGTTTACCGCCGCAGCTTACCGAAGTGCTTTTGGGCACGGCACCAGCATCGCCTACCTGCTTACTCATATTCCAAGATGGTTAAATGGTTTGAACACAATATTTGAAAACAACAAAAGTTCATCTGCATCTAAACTCTGGTGTAAGAAAGCAGAAAAGGCGTTGATGAGGTGAACTCGAGGACCTCGTGACCAGCAGGTGGTCTTTACTATTCAGGTTGCGAAGGTTGAGTGAAAGAGACTACCTGTTGGTAGCTGGTAGGGTTTAGTGGGAGATAGTCTATCAATGAAGTGCTTAAAGCTCTAGCTTGTTTCAAGATTGCAGCGGACTCCTGAAAAACTAAAATCAGCCTAGAAAAAAGTCTTATGTGCCATAAAGTATTAGCAAAAGCAAAAGCAGCGGTAAAAAATAACAATAAACCCAGTGACTCTTGAGGTCAATATTATGGGATTTACAGCACAAAGAAATTCGCCATGGCGGAGCTCTTATGAATTCTACTTTGTTCTGTCCACATGTTCCTGGTTGATAGATGGGGGTAATCTAAATACCCAGCCTCCTCAGCCTCCATCTATGCCCGCGTCCCGCTCCTCCAGCACTCTGGAGGGCACTTGCGTGTGATGGATGAGTTAAAAAGCCTTTCCATCCGGCAGGACAGGTTAAAGGCCAGTGGCTAAGCAAACACTCATATTTTTCCCCCCAAGAAGTGAAAATAAACTCGGCGAACGCCGTGAATCACACACAAAAATACAGTCTTGGTTTATTTTTCTCTCCAGGGAAAGCGAGCACAGTAAAGCTAACCACAGGACCGAAAAAACAAAGCATATAGAAAATTAAAGCTGGCGAGCTGATTCAAGAGCAAGACAGCAGCGGAGATGTAACTGGACACGGTGCGTAACTGGAGAAGGACAGAGCTGATTATTGCCTTGGTGATGGTTTCCCTGCTTGGTCCAAGGCCTGTTTGACCTGAGGTCTGACAACCAATAAACAGCCTGTGCAGGGAATGCAGGTGTAAATAAAACAACGTCTAATAACCAGCACAGGGAAACACCCATAGGACAAATCCACTAAACTGCAAGAATATGTAAAATTTCCTTTTAAACCCCTTCATTCGTTGTTAAACCAGAGCCAGTCCGCCACATGTTCGGTCGTTTCTTTTAGTTTTACATACACGCGGTGTTGATATTTGAAAAGAGAGTGGTTCTTAATATGTGAAAACATAAAAATATACATATACTGCCTTTTAGGGTGAAACTTGATTGCTACTGCATATTGTTATTTCCTCGGGGAACGTTTTGTGAAAGGTTGCACACGATGTTTCATTTAAATTTCCCCCAAACCTCGAAATTATTCCAACTTTTTTACGTATCTTTTTAACGAATGGGGGATTCTTGTTTTTTTGTTGTGATTAAATCCAGAAAAGATTGATTGGTTTATTTTTATGTGAGCTACGACTGCTGGATCTGAAGAAAAAAATTAAATGAAATATTTTCCACTGAACAGATTGGTATGTTTATGTGTCGTTTGTAGCATCTGGCTTGATGTTGCTTCGTTTTTCCTTTTGTTTTTAGTGTTTAAAAGATAAATGGTTGGGATTTATCACCAGAAAGATGAAAAAAGTTCATTGTTTGTATATGTACTTATTTATCTATTGCCGATGTCAATTTGTGAATTTGCTTCAAACTCAAAAGACTTTTTCACAGAGCTCCATAATCATTTTGCAGCTAATGAATCACAATATCCATTCTCTTCCGGTTATGCAATTGGGGGTCGCGGTCGGGCTGGAGCCTATACCAGCTGTCATAGAGCGAGAGGCGGGGTACACCCTGGACACGTCTCCAGTTTATCGCAAGGGTAACACAGAGAGACAGACAACCACTCACTCTAGACTTGTACTTCACAATCAGCAGTCATCCTAACATCCTTGCGTTTGGACTGTGGGAGGAATCCGAGACCCACAGAGACACGGAGCGAACATGCAAACTCGACACAAAAACGCCTCAGCCGGATTCTAACCCAGTCCTAACCACCACCACACCACCGTGGATCTGAATATATATATATGGATATTTTGAAAAGTCAAACATAATCAACATGTTAAACTGAGCACAGAAAAATGTCATACCAGATTCCCCACAAGAAATCACATTCTTCGACAGATTCAGTTCCATTCCAGTTGCCTGAAAAACACAAAAAAAAGACAATTAAATCAAACTTTCTCCTCCAAATAAAAAAAAAAATATATATATATAAAAATCAAAGAGGCTAAACACACTTATTCTCATTAAACCACATCATATTATAGTTACCATTACAATGTTGTTGTCTTTTTAATATTGAATAAATGAAAGTTTGTTTAAAAAACAAGTCAGCAGGCTGTGTCACAATCCTACAACAGCAAGTTTAATTCTTTCTGGACCCTGGTCTCATACATTTGTATTAAAATTGATTGTGAGAAGAAACATGCAAGACAATTAAGGACAATAGCAAAATTAATAAACTGATTAATACAACTTAAAAAAAATAACGCGAATTTTGTGGTAATATTTATTCGTTTTTAAAGAAAGGATTTTCATGTTTTCGGCTTGCAGAATGAGAAACACCCTCTCCCTTGCCCATCACAAAATCACAGAACCACAGACCACACACACACACAGACACACACACACACACACACACACACAGACACACACACACACACACACACACACACACACACACACACACACACACACACACACACACACAGAGAGACAGAGAGCGAAAGATTGACCCTCTTATCTAGAGGAATCCCTTTGCTGCTTTTATGTCCTCAGTAAATCTTTACTCAGTACCCTTCGTACTTTCGTCCTTCGCGCTTCAGTGCGCGCACACGCTTGTACTCTATATTAGTTACTCTAAGTATCTAATGTAGTGTTTTTCTGGACTACAGTGGGAATAATGTTGTAAGGTGCAGCTGGCTGACTCTAATGCTCAGACAAACTATTGTCACACTCGCTGCTGCAGTTCTATGCCAGAAATCGTTGCTGTGCGCAAAGCTCTATTCGCTCAGTCTCTACTCCAGCTTTTTGACAACCAAATGGCCAACAGCATGCTCTTCCTAAAGGAGTCAGCGCTTTTAAATATTTTATTTTCTTCTTCACGCTGGACACATCTGCCCCTCTGATTCACATTCCCAATATCTTGAAGTGTTAAAAGGCACAGAGCGACCTGCCCGCCGACACCTTCTGACCAATTCCCACAGCTAAAATCCACTGACCTGACACGACACCGTGCGTGCCTTACTCACCAGTTGGTTCCCAGCAGAAGACAGAAAAACGGAATAAACCCTCACGGTTTCCCCATGCAGGTGTTCAGTAAATCCACTTTAGCGTCAGCTGCGCGTAAATGCTGCGTCCGCGGTAATCAGCACTTTGGTCGTCTCTGTGACGATACCTTGGTTTTCTTCACTGCTCTGCTGCACGCCTAGCGTTGACGTCATCACACCGCAACCCCCCGCTGCCGCCGCCACCACCACCAACACCTCCCCCGCTGTCACCCCCCCAATCACTGGTCTCCTTTTCATCCCATCGCATCTTCATTTGAACTTTTCTTAAAAAAAAGAAAAAAAAAGACATCACTGAATTCCTCACCTGCGCTGCCATCATCACCTGACGTCACCTTCTTCTTCCTCCCCATCTTAATTCACGATTTTCTTCTCCGCAAAATATGTTCTCAAACGCTTTTTTCTGACTTTTACTTTAACATAGGAAAGCAACAAGTGATGTAATAATAATAAACCCATTTGGTGTGTGTGTGTGTGGCGTTGACGAAGGACAGTTTCGGAGTAAAAAAAAAAGGTGAGAAGAGTTTTCTTGATTTTCATCAGAGGGTGTTTGTCCTCACACCGATGACCATCAGCTTGAGGAAAGAAAAAAATGTATTTTGAAGAATTCACATAAAAGAAGACGCACATTCTGTTATATGTAGACATATATATATATGTGTGTGTGTGTGTGTGTGTGTGTATACATATAAAGATAAAGATAAATATTTATTTGTTTATTTATTTATCACAGTTTAAATAAATTTAAAAAACCAAAAACGGTAAATCACACACAACCACACATCTTAAAGTTTTGTGTAACACATAGGTTAATTAATTAATTAATTAATTTTAATGTAATGACTTAAGTTGTTTTTCAAGCACGAAAAGATCCCAATATTTTGCTGACACAGGCGACAGCATTTTATTTCTATAAGTTGGCATCAGGCTTTTGCGTGGTTACGCACTGGCCGTATTTTCCTCTTCGATAATGAACCGGGTCGGCAAACAATAAGCCGTCTGACCATTGTGAACCTCTCTGTTAGCAGATGATTATTTAACGACTAATTGTTCATTTTTGCACGCAGGGTCCAGATTTGTTTTGTCCTTCAAAGTAAAACATTCGATTATCCCATTAAAAATGGTCTGAGGTTTTAAATGGAGGAAATATGACCGAGCTGTGAACAAGCGTTTGCGCCCTAAAAAGGGGAAATAATTAGGCTAATGTTTTCTGTAAAAGGAAGACGAAGCCATTCAGGCCTTTGTGTGTCCGTGAGCGGTTGCAGAGAGAGCGAGAAATAGAGTAAAAACGCCATGCCAACAAAACAACTGTTGCAAAAGCAAATAAACGGAAGATTTAGGTCGGGTAAACTCTGCAGCGTTGCTGTATCAACGGACAAAAAGCATGAAGAGAGACGCAAAGTAACAGCGAAGGCCACAAGAAACACAGACAGAGATTAGAGTAGTTCCACCGTAGCCGTGGAAGGACTGCATCACCGATTAGGCCACGAATGAAAATAAAACAAAGAAAATACAATAAAAAAAAAACCCTAAAAGAAATTTATTTTAAAAGAAAAATGAGTGACTGAAAAGTTATTACAAGTCCTAATTGTCTTTGCTAGATAGTTGATCCTTGGGACAAAACACACTTTCAGGCCGGATTTCAAGCGTCCGCAGCCAAGATTGTGCAGCCCACGCACACAGCCGGCCCCACCACTGAACCACCGCAGAGTTCGTGTGGCAGGGAGTATTTCCAGCTTCACATACTCAATTTACAAGCTCCTTCTTTTGGCCTGAGACATGGGAGAAAGTGCGAAATTTGTCCCACCCTTACACTTTCCTTTTTAACTCGGCCAAGAGCTGCGCACAAAGCAAAGCCCAGCTCTGAGAGAGGGATCCCGGAGGGATTAAAGGCGAGCTGCAGGCCTCCCTTTAGGACTCGGAGAGACCTGCTTCCCAAGGTGCCTCTTGGAGACAGGGAAGGCTGTATCTGGTCATGTTAATATTTATCCTGTGCATGCAGGAGATACTAAGGAATCCACAGACCCGAAACTGCAGAAAAGCCAGACAATTTGTACCATAATCATTTACTGCCAGGAGGTGCTTGTGCTTAGAATCAGGAGCCACTTTTTGCTGGATATTACTGTCACAATCAAGTTTATTATGGTAAAAGACAATAATAACAATTAAAATATATTTCATATATTTTAATGTGAATTAAAAGTTTGCAGTTAAACCAACTTTATGCCTCAGACATGTAAAATTTCTGCTTGACTGGAGCAACAAAGTAAATGTGTTATGGCTCCTTTAGACTCCAATACTGACTCCAGCTACTTCGTATGAAATTGTATCCAAAAAATAGTAATAATACTCTATAAGCATGTGTAATTGTCAACCTGTGAGACCTGGGATGCTAAATAATGAGTCTTTTACTCTCTGTCTCGCGCGCACACACACACACACACACACACACACACACACACACACACACACACACACACACACACACACACACACTCTAATTAGGCAGTAGGCTGGCAGGAGAATGCTGTGATTACTCCACGAGTTACTCGAAGAGTTAAGTAGTACCCTGAAGGTGAGGCAGTGGCCTCTTCTCTCCTGTGCAAATAGGTGGAGGGATTGTTAGGGCTGTTAAGAGTGTATGTGCGAAGGGGGAGAAGGTGTGTATCTGTGGCCAGGAGCTGTCTGATGGTCACCTCTGCAGCGTAAATAGTTATTCCTAAATAACACAAGGGCTAATCCAAGTTTGAGAGGTGGAAAAAAACAAGCCCAGAGTGCACAAAATGCCAGATTGCTTTTTGGAGAAGTCGGAAGGGTGAATTTGTGTGTTTGGGATACATTTAACACACACACACACACACACACACACACACACACACACACACACACACACACACACACACCAAGCATTGCACATTTTATATTTATTGTCTTCTTTTGCTCTCGCCAAGCCCACAAAAAAACAGAAAGAAAAGAAAAAGCTCCCATTTTTGTGTTTTTCTCTTCACTGTGGCCTTTTCAGCAGTGACGCTCAACAATGGCCACATCCCTGATGATCATAGTAAAGCAGTGCTGGTTGCATTAAGGCCCATTTCCGCTGAGCGAGGCTTATAGAAGTGCTTTTGCACCACGTGCAATCCAGACTCTGTAGAATCAATCAGGAAGGTCTTGCAAGCTTGACGCCAGGCTGCTCGACGGGATGGAAAACCTTTTGTAACATCATAGCCCACCTTCTAACTCAGAGCAGAGCTGGAGAATCTGCCGGCATGTCAACAAGCTAAACACCCAACCAGCCAGCCTGCCCAGATGCTCAGACGGACACACGACAGCCTGTTATACACACTCTCAGCAAGCAATGCCGAGGTATTTACTGCATAAAGTTTCCACTACTGTGGATATATCCTCTTCAAAACATTTAAGTGGACAAGGATGAAGTCATCCTCTCATCACTAGGGTTATTATAAGGAATGGATGCTTCCCAGTTGCCTTTCCCCCCCCCCTTTGAAGAAGTCCCCCTTGAAGTGTGTTGAAAACACAGATGTCACAGTTTCCAATCGGCAGTGAAATTAGTGATGTTTTGATTACACTGGGCTTGGAGATTACTAACATAAACAGGTCTGTTGCATAGATCATCTTTTCAAGAGGAGGCATCATTCCCTTTTTCCACTCTGTCCAAACTCGGCAGCTCTCTCGGGCTTAGTGCTGATGAGAATCGGA